TTCGTCGACTGGTCGCCGACTGGCTTCAAGGTACGTCTGTCTGTCTGCTCATCATAGTTTTATCGCCTTAATAACACCTCTTTCCTTTATCTTATCTCATCACCATAGGTGGGCATCAACTACCAGCCGCCGACGGTGGTGCCGGATGGCGACCTCGCCAAGGTGCAGCGCGCCGTCTGCATGCTTTCGAACACGACTGCTATTAGCAGCGCTTGGGCCCGTCTGGACCACAAGTACGACCTGCTGTTCTCGAAGCGCGCCTTCGTCCACTGGTACGTCGGCGAGGGCATGGAGGAGGGCGAGTTCAGCGAGGCCCGCGAGGACCTGGCCGCCCTGGAGGCCGACTACGAGGAGGTGGGCGCCGACAGCGCCGACCTGGACCAGTATGAGGCCAACTCTGGCGAGGAGTTCTAAGGAGGAGGAGTCCTCGAACTCATCTCTCTCCTCTGGTGTGTGAGTGGAACTTTTTATTTTTATTTTACCATTTGTATTTTCACCACCACCGCACTACCACCACCACTGGCAAATGTTTTTCATTTTATATTTATCTTAAGAGGAAGGTGGGCGGCTCCCCGCATTCATTTCCCCCTTCTCTTTCCCACCAGCTACCCTTTTATTAAAGTACCCTTTTTAAAGAGCGGTCTTTAAGTGAGTTGTCGCTTTTATCTTTTTAAAAGCCTGCTTAGCAGCGCTCCAAAGCAGCGCCTCAGTTTGGAAGACCGCCTAGACCTCATCTTCTTGAGGTGCCTCCGCAAGGCAAACCTGTGGTGGTAGTGAAAGTAGTAGCCCTCAAGAGGGCGGCCATAGATGGTAGGAGAGGTAGACACGGCCGTAGATGGTGTCCAGGTAGGCGCGGTGGCCGTTGCTGTCCAGTGCTTCAGGCTTCAAGATCTGGGCAATGTAGTCTCGGCCTAGCAAGATGTCCATCTCTGGAAGGTGGTGCTCATCAAGGACGTAGGCAAACACCTGAACGGGTTGAGTGTACCGGTGGGCGAGGATGACCCTGGTCACCTCATTCGTGGAGACACTCTTCACTGGTCCCTTCATAGTGTAGATGTCGGGCACCGTGAAGATGGCTGATGGCGGTGTTCGGGATCGGCTAATGAACGTGAAGGAGCTGCCCGTGTGGAGGACGATTTTGAGCATACTGCCATCGTGGCAGCTGCGCCCCCAAATGGTGCACTGATTGGTGGTGCAGTGAACTCGAATGACCAGAGCGCCACTTTGGTGGCTCCTCGATGTACAGACAAAAAGGTTGCCCGTGCTTTCGCTCCGCTTCATCATCGCCGAAGCTTTGAAGGACTCCTCCTCCTTCAGCTGAAGAGTTCTCCTCGGCGCTTCCCAGCTCCACTCTTTAAGAACGAGCCGATTGCGGTAGTACACATTTCTATTGTCGTTATCAAAGGCCACCATCCAGCTTTCAGGCAGAAGATCGGCGACGGTGTCCAGATCGGTGCAGCTCAGTGACCGGCGAACAGTACGCGAACAGAATCTGTTTCCGGCTTTCCAGTTGATGGTGGCCCTTGGGCCGGTCCAGGAATTAATTTTTGAAGAGTAGTAGACTGGACCGTAGATGGTGTCAAAGAAGGCACGTCCGTTCCCGTCAAGCGCTTCAGGCTTGAGAATTTTGGGCAAATCTTTCCGACCGATGCGGGCGTCCACCTTATAGACGCTTTTCCGCTGATCATCCACATAGCCAGTGAGCTCAACGCAGGAGGATGCAGCAGGAAGATGATGATGGCCGCCGCTGCTGCTGCTGCTGTGAGTGAGCAAACACTTGGTCGCCAGATTGGAGGAACTGACGCCTCCAATGATGCAACGAGAGTAATGTGTTTCCTTTACTTTGAAGACATCCTCCCCCTCCTTCGGTCGGGTGATCAGCGAACGGTCAAAGACGGTGTGCCAGGCACCGGTGTCCAGCAGAATGGTAATCGGCCGCCCATTGCTCACTGCCTGAAGACAACTGCTTTTTCCCTCCCGCCGCCCAGACTGGGACTGGGAAGGGAGAACCACNGCCTGAAGACAACTGCTTTTTCCCTCCCGCCGCCCAGACTGGGACTGGGAGGGGAGTACCACCTTCATGCGAAGCCTGCAGCGACGCCTGCGCATCGCCTCCTTCTCGAGGGCTTTCGCAGCCGCCTCCCTCGGGTCACTCCACGTTGTCGTACGGTTGTGGCTGTTGAGGTAGTAGGGCTTTCCCTTGGCGGTGTAGGACATTCTCCAGCCGGGTGGAAAGCGGCGGATGGATTCGATGGCAGTGCAGCTCAGAGTTCGTGTCACTTTTTTGCGCAGGGACCTGGCAGCAGCTTCTTTACCGCCAAAAACAGCCACATCCGAGCAGCTAAGTGATCTAGCCGGCGGCGGCTGGACATTGTTATTGGCGAGGAAGTGCCTAGCCACTGTCAGCAGGTACTCCACCAGGCCTGGTTTTACCTCCTCCGGGGCGTCATGGATGAGTTTGAGTACGGGGAGAAAATGGTAGTTGCCGTTCGGTGGTGATGGTCTGCTTGAGACTGAGAAAGAGAGCGAGTGAGAAATGAGGAATGATGAAAAGTCACCTCAAAAGAGTGGTAAACATAAACACTTACTACTAGCAGTGGTCGTCCTTGGGCTGACGCTGACACTGCCACTGGAAGCGACGGAAGTGTAAGTTGATGGTACATTTGAATTAGTGGGAAACATGTTTTCAGTTTAGTTCAGTTCAGTTTGGCCACTTTAACTTTAGGCTTCATTTTGTTCTTGTTGGTGTTATTTCTGTTGGTGCTGTCAACACACGCTCACCACAAAGTGAGAAGCGTTAGAAGAATGTATATAGTGTGCTCATTAGAGCGCCCGAGTGCGTGTGCGTGCGTGCTGTGTGTGTGCTGGGGAATGGATGGCGACCGAATAAGATCGACCGGTCCCGACAGTTGTGCCACTACTACAACTCACCCGCCTGCTACTTTACAGTCCACCCAACTCAGACGAAAAGAGGGGGCGGCTACAGCTGCAGTTCGGGTGGTAGTACAAATAGGTAAAGGGGAGCCATTGCCCACTTTTGAGGAAAAGTGGGCTTCCCTGCGCAATGCCTTTGTATAGTAAAAAGACCATTTTTCGGTACACATTTCTCAGCGACCACACATCGGATTTAGGTTTTGTAAAAAGCAACATGAAGACAGGAATGTGGTTTTTTGTTTTAGAAAAAAATTTGGGTTTAAAGTTGAATTTTATTATTATTTAAGTTGTAAAATGTGTTACTTTTCAAAACCTTGATAATCCTCCTATCCCTAAAAAAATGATTTTCTCCCTCTGTTTCTCCCTCC